AGGATGGAGCCAGAGACAAGGACGTGAAGAGATGGAGTGGCTGGGGACTCCAGACCCAGAGAGGGAGAGGAGCTGTGTGCTGACAAACAGGGGGCAGGCTTACAGAGTGTACCCTTTGATTGGTTAATGATGCATGGAGGAGATTGTAACCATGCCAATGAAACGATATATAATAGGATGAATGTAAAGCTAATGTTCTCCCACATAAACTATCACATAATTCACAATAAAACATTTTTAAAAAATGGAAGGAATATACAAAGTCACTGTACCAAAAAGAAATGGTCAATGTTCAATCAACCATTAGATAGCATATTATCAAGAGCCAATGATACTGAAGGAACAAGCCCAAGGTGCACTGAAGGCATTGACAAAGAACAAGGCTCTGAGAATTGATGGAATGCAAATTGAAATCTTTCAAGAAAAGTGAGGTGGCGCTGGAGGCACTCACTCATACATGCCAAGAAATTTGGACGACAATTACCTGACCAACTGATTGGAAGAGATTCATATTTGTACCTGTTCCAAAAAATGAGATGACCCAATGGAATGTATAAGTCATCGGACAATATCATTAATATCAAATGCCAATAAATTTTTGCTAAAGATAATTCAAAACCAGCTGTGGCAGTAAATTGACAAGGAGCTGCCAGAGGTTCAGGACAGATTGAAATGGGGACGTGGAACAAGGGATATCATTGCTGATGTTAGATGGATCTTGGCTGAAAGCATTATACTGGAAAGATGTTTACCTATGCTTTATTGACTACACAAAGGCTTTCGATTGTGTGGATCATGACATGCTATGGGCAACATTGCAAAGTATGAGTATTCCAGAAGACTTAATTGTGCTCATAAGGAACCTGTACACAGACCAAGAGGCAGTTGCAGGAACAGAACAAAGGGACCACCAAATGGTTTAAAATCAGGAAAAGTGTGCCAGGGCTGTGTTCTTTCACCTTACGTACGCAATCTGTATGCTGAACAAATAATCCAAGGAGCAGGATTACATGAAGAAGAACGTGCATACGGATTGAAGGAATACGTATTAATGACCTGTGATATGTAGATGATACAACCTTGCTTGCTGAAAGAGGACTGAAAATACTGATGAAGATCAAAGACCACTCACCACCTTTGGTATGGGTTGCACCTCAGTGTAAAGAAAACAAAAACCCTCACCACTAAACTAGTCAATAACATCATGATCAATGGAGAAAAGCTGGAAGTTGTCAAAGACTTCATTTTGCTCAGCAATCATCAACATTCATGGAAGCAGCAATCAAGAAATCAAATGAAGTATTACATTAGGCAAATCTGTTGCACAAGTCCTCTTTAAAATGTTCAAGCACAAAAATAACAGTTTGAGGACTAAAATGCAGCTGACCCATGGTATTTTCAGTAGCCTCATATGCATATAAAATTTGGACAATGAATAAGGAACACCTTAGAAGAACTGATGCATTTTGAGTTAGGGAGTTGGAGAAGAATATTACAAGTTCATGGACTGCCCAAAGCACAAACCAATCTGTGTTGGAAGAAGTATAACCAGAATGCTCCTTGGAAGCCAGGATGGCCAGACTTCATTTCTCATATTTCAGACATACTGTCAGGAAGAACCAGCGACTGGAGAAGGACATCATGCTTGGTAAAGTAAAGGGTCAGTGAAAAAGAGGCAGACCCCCAACAATATGGATTGGCACAGTGGCAACCACAATGTGACCAAGGGTAGCAAAGATTGTGAGATTGGTGCAGGACAGGGCAGTGTTTTGTTACAGAAAATAACTATGAGTCGGTACCAACTGGATGGCAACCTAACAAACATTAAAGAAATAATGTAAATCGTCATTTACAACAATGATATAGTCACCATGAAACAAGTACCTATTAAGAGACAAACACACAGTAGGCACACTACGTGTGTGATTGTTGTTGTTACGTGCCGTTGAGTTGCTTCAGACTCATAGTGACTCAGTACAGGGTTTCCGGGGAGCTGCTGGTGGGTTTGAACCGCAGACCTTGTAGTTAGTAGTCCTGTACTTAACCTACTATGCCATACCTGGACTCTGCCTCTCAAAAGCAATCCCTGCAAAGCAGGCCTCACAACGGACCCATTTCTTCAAGGGAAAACCGTGTTTTACAGAGGTTCAGAAGCTTCCCCAAGACCAAGCAGGGGCAAGCCCAGAATTGACCAGTACTTCCAGGATGGCACAAACAGTTAAGCACTTGGCTTCTAAATCAACTTCCATAGCACCTCGGAAGTATGGCCTGGTGATCTGCTTCTGAAAGGTCACAACTTTGAGAATGCTATGAAACAGGTCGGTTGAAGAGCAGAGATGTCAGCTTGAGGACTAGGGTGCGCCTGTCCCAGGCCATTATGTTTTCAATAGCCTCATATGGATGCGAAAGCTGGACAGTGAATAAGGAAGATCGTAGAAGAATTGATGCCTTTGAGTTGTGGTGTTGGAGGAGAATACTGAAAGTGCCATGGACTGCCAAAAGAACCAATAGACCTGTTTTGGAAGAAGTGCAGACAGAGTGCTCCTTGGAGGCCAGGATGGCTAAGCTTCGTCTCTCCTACTTTGGACATATTGTCCGGAGGAAACAATCGTTGGAGAAGGATGTCATGCTGGGTAAGGTGGAGGGTCAGAGAAAAAGAGGAAGACCCCCAACGAGATGGATCAGCCAGGTGGCATCATTGATGGACTCAAGTGTGGCAGCGGTAGTGAGGTTGGCCCAGGATCAGACATTGTTTCGTTCTGCTGTGCATGGGGTCGCTATGAGTCGGTTCTGACTCGATGGCACCTGACAACAACAACAACATGAAACAGGTCTACTGTGCACACATGGGGGCGCCGTGGGTTAGAACAGGCTTGACGATTCATTTCAGTTTTGTTGGTGCCTGGCTTCAAAGCCCAGGTCATTCCCACCACACCAAGTGCTGAATATAAAGCACATATTTAAAACAATGATTTCAAAAAAAAAAAAAAGCACTGCTTAAAAAAAAAAAAAAAAAAAAAGCAAAGTTTATGCAGAAGCCGTTTTGAGGAAAGAGTATATACTTAGAGTTTCAATAAGAAAAGCATTAAGTAATTGAAGCTATGGTCTACGTTTGATCTTCTGTGTTTCCTATTCTAAAGGAAAGCAATTCTATTATGTTCGGTTTCTGCAGCCTTATCGTGAAAACAGCATTGTTTTTGAGGCTTAGGGGGAAAAAAAAAATCTCAAATAAAAATTTGTGGAGTTCTTTATTATTCAATACTTAGGAGATGGGGAAACAGACAGTAACATTTTTTATAGATTTACTAGGCTGGAGACTGCAGTGCCAAACACAAGGTTTATTGTCAAATAAAACACTGTTTTGTTTTTTGATTGCCTGTTTTAGGAGAGTGTTGTTTCGGTTCTATAATTGCGTGTGCAAAATTATTTAATTTGTTTTGTTTGGATCTCATCCTGGACACTTTCCCAGCCGGAAAAGATGTAAAAATTAAAACATCTATTATGTCTTTTATATTCTGAAGGTGGGTTATAAGAGAAAAATAAAAGGAGGGATTTTTTTTTTTTTTTTTTTTTTTAAGATTTGGAAACATCCACATTTAAAAGTCTCCTGGTTTTTCAGACCCCCTAGCACCTCCAACGTTGCCACGTGTCCTCTTGTGCGGCTCTTTGCTACTGATGCTCCTTTACCAGTAACCGCAGCAGCATCTTTATAAGACTCTGTGAGGGACCAAAAGGAGCTCTGGTAGAGTAGTGGTTACGAGCTGGGCTGCTAACCACAAGGTCAGCCGTTCAAAACTACCAGCCGTTCTGTGGGAGAAAGATGAGGCTTTCTACTCCCATAAAGATCTATAGCCTCGGAAACCCTACACAAGGACACTATGAGCCGGAACCAACTCCACAGCACATAACTACCACCACCAAGGGACCACCATCTTTATAAGATTCTGTAAGGGACCACAGCAATCTTCTTTAACAGAGATGCATAACTGCAGTGCAGTGTGGGCCTCTTAAGATCAAGGGTACAGTAATAAGGCTCGGTACTTTTGTTAATTGCCCGGAAGATGAAGCAGACAAATCTGCTTGGGAAGGTGCTTCCCGGCCTGGTACTAGGTTAATTAAGCAAAGCCAGGGCCCACCTTCTAGTGGCTTCCATTCGAACCCCAAACAGCCCCAGAAGTCATGTACTGAGCTTCCTCGAAATGGTCTGAAATTTATTGGAGGCTCAAAAAGAAATTTTAAAAGCAGGTGTAGGCTTCACGAGCTGCCCCCAAGCCAGGAGCAGGTGGCGGTGGCTTTCAGAAGCCATCAAACCGCTAAATGATCTGCCTACTTAACCATTCTCCTGTCACAAGCCCTGCCCACAACCACTGAAAGCTCTGAAAGGGAAATGAAGCTTCTTTATTATATCTGCTGGCGGAGAGGGAGAAGTGGGGAGTCCTGGTGTGGTGCTGTAGGATAAATACTGGACTGCTAACCACAACGTTGGCGGTTTGAACCCAGCAGCCACTCCTTAGAAACCCTATACAGGGTGGCTGTGAATTAGAAGAGACTTGAAAGTACTTAACAACAATATTGGAGGGGAGAGTCGATGGGGTTTGCTGGGAAGATGAATGTATCCAGCTTTCATCAGACTCAGCAGTGAACGGGTTACTCGTGAGGGGGCGGGCCCAGTGCCAAGCAGGAAGAAAGAGATAGTTAGTGATGGATGACTTAAACAGGCCACGAGTGCTCAGGTCTGCGGGTCAGCTGATCTGCATACAGACTATCACTTCTAACCATCCACTGTCAATTTTGACATGTGTGAGGAACTTTCTGGGTGTGCCAGAAATACCCAATTGTTTGCCTCTCTTTGAAAAAAACAAAACAAAAAAAAAGTGTTGAACAGCAAAGGCGGTATTACAGGTAGATGGATGGAAGGACCTAAGGAAGCTGATTGGTCCCATTTTGAAATTGGCTGGAAGTTGGATTGAGCACGCCCCTCCTGGCCTTTGTTTACTCACTTGTCATACTCTTCCTCACTCATCTTCAAGCAGAAGGTCTCCAGAACCCTCCTGAGGTCCTGTGGCTTGACCAGGCCAGTGTCGTTCACATCCACGAGCTGAAATGCTTTGAGAATCGATTTGCTATTCCGGGACACCTGTGTGTGGAAACGGATTGGGGGGAGAGTCACAAGATCCAGTGTTAAAACCTGACATGAGAGTAAACAATGTGAGGGAATCTGAATGCTTCTTGTAACATAAAATGTTTTCCAAGACTCACAGGGGTAGGCACTGCAAAATGACATGTCTAGGGGAAAAAAAGAACACTTTGCATTTACTGAATGTTTTCAAGGCAATTTTCTCTGTAAATGGTCTTAGAAAGTTTTAACAAAAAAAAAAAAAACTCGTACTGATGTAACACAGTAAGTTTCATGCAAATCTATTCACTTTTAGAGACACATGAAATGTCTTTTTTTGTTAATTGATACTTAAAAAAACTACAGTCCTGGCAATCGCTGGACTTGTACACATTTTATGCTTCACAGCCACAAAAAAACTATTTTTACTAGCGTATAAATGATTGTACCCCCACGTCTGACAATCTGCCATGGGGGGATGGCTTGCATGTTGCTCTGATGCTGTAAACTGAAATGCCAGCGGGGCCATCCACGGTGGACAGATTTCAACAGTACTTCCGTGCTAACAACAGATTAGGAAAAATAAATAGGTAATCCACTTCTGACGGATTAGTCACTGAAAACCTTATGGGAAGCTGGGAAACATTGTCAGAGAAAGGGCCAGAAGATGAGCCCCTCAGGTAGGAAGGCACTCAAAATACGACTGGGGACAAGCTGCCTCCTGAAAGTAGAGTTGACAAGAATGACACGGATGGAGCAAAGCTTTGGGGACCTTCATCTGCTGATGAGGCACAAGTCAAAATGAGGAGAGATAGCTACAAACATCTATTGATAATCAGAAGGTGGAATGTAGAAAGTATGCATCTACAAAAATTAGAAGTTATCAAAAAATAAAATGAAACAAATAAATAAACCCTGGGCATTGTTGTTGTTGTTGTTGTTATGTGCTGTGGAGTCGGTTCCGACTCATAGCGACCCTGTACAGGGTCTCCGAGGCTGTAAATCTTTCCGAGGCTGTAAAAATGAAAGCTTCATTTTTCTCCCGTGGAACAGCTGGTAGTTTTGAACTGCTGACCCTGAGATTGGCAG